AACTTCTCCCGTTTTCCCAACATTTCCCTTCACTACTCTGCTGCTATTGATTGTAGCGTGATGAAAAGTATACTATAACCTGCCCAGGAGTATGAAGAATAATTGTACCAAGTTTCGTTAAAATCCGTTGAGTAGTTTTTGTTTCTATAAGGAACATACAACATACAACACAGACAGACAGACAGACAGACAGACAAAAATTTTACTGATTGCATTTTTGGCATCAGTATCAATCACTAATCACCCCCTGATAGTTATTTTAAAAATATATTTCATGTACAGAATTGACATCTCTACAGATTTATTATAAGTATAGATTACGTGTTTATTATTCTCATACAACTTTAGTGAAATAATCAAATATTTAAAAGTATAAAAATTGACTTCATGTCTGTTTCAAAAGCAAAAAGTTCCGTTTTACAAAATAAATGAACAATAAACGTACACAAAAAATATTTGTGTAAGTATATCGAAACAAACAATATTATTTCTAAACCCCCTCAAACTATGACATATTTAGCCCTAATTTTTATATTAACAAATCACTGAATGCCTAAATTAATAGATTTTATTATTCTGATCAGGCTTAAGATAAGGCTGTATATCATACAGCCTTATCTTAAGTTAGTTAGTTAATCCTTTAATTTTTGCAAATGGACAAAATAAAACTTCACAGCTGTCCTGTCAGCCTACGATAACAAATTATTTGTATTTATTTTTGCTCTAAAAAAACTTTTTGTAAAGAGCTGATCAGAGAAATGGGAAGAAAGATTCTAGGAAAATGCGAAATTGATGACTCTGTAAATAATAGGCAACATCTTTTATCAACTGTAGTAAGGTAATGATATAATAGAAGTTCTTATAATTTTCAAGATTGTGACTTTATCAAAAGTTCGTGAGCCTTTTTTCATAGAAATTATAAATATTCAGCCATTTACCATTACATATTATTAAGTACAGTATTTATACATTACCAGGGCAGTAGCTCAAACAAAACTTTACCGTGTCCTTTTCAGGTCCGTGGTCCTTTTATATTCAAACTCAATGAATATTCATAATATAAAAATGACAGATTTAGAAAGGTAACTTTGTTTTTTTTTTAATTTTAATAGCATCGGCCATACAGTTCCCTTTATACCGCCGATATTTAATAATAATAATTTTACTATAGAGAAAATACAACCATTTATCAATATTTTACACATTCAATATGTAGGTATTTGATGTGACATTAACTTAAGTCTAATTTAACTTAAATTGTTTCAAACAATGCGGTTAATAACAGACAATTCCATATTTTAACAAGAAAATAATGTGCTTTTGTCACTTGCATTTTTATCCGAAAAAGGGAACATAATCAGGTAAGTATAACTTTAAATAAAAAAGCTAAACTGCTATCCAATAAAGCATAATCAATAATATTGGCTCGTAAAATATTAAAATTCAATACAAAACGAATTAAAATATCTACATAAGGACATTACTGATTTTGAGGTCCAGGCCTGAATAAACCCATTGAGTTCCAATTAAAGAGGGAAAAAGGAGTTAAATATATCAATTACTTTATTGTTTCGTAAACTTTGCTGTAACATTTATATCGTTTTGAGTAGCATTTTCATGCATGATGAATAAATAAACACTCCTTTGTTACTCAGTCAATCTTTAGGTGGACGAGTTTCAAAGTACAGCATTTATCATTAGATTGTTTAAAAGGAACACATCTGAGAGATAAAAATGCCGACATGATACCACAATTGAGGTTGTCCGATGCAGCCGGCGAAAAATCTGTCCTCGTCCACATGATAAAAGAGGTTAACACAGATACGTTGTATTGTCCTTATAATCGGATCTGTGCCTCGACTTGGATATTGTGAAGTATTAGGTTTATACCAATTTTTAATATAAGGAATTGTTAAGTGGAAAAGTTAGCATTTAAAAGAAAGGCAAACTTCGTAAATAAGCAGACGAAGAACTGGACCTAAACAAGTACTTGAGGAAGTATATTCAACTTTCCAGAAAAGTTATTTGTGGGAGAGAGAAAGATCATTTTATTTCGCCTCATTTACACCAGAGAAGTGGCAAACTTTTCGTTGATTTGAATGGTAACTTAAAAGTTTGAATATGAGCAATGAATCTTGGATCGGAGTAATCAATTATAAAATTATATTTTGTAATATTATATCAATCTTGTCTCGCTTGTATTGTGTATAAATAAATCTTTAAATCAATGGATATTATTTAACTGGCACTGGGATTAAAATTTATTTCCTATGTACATACTTTAACAAAATATTTTGTATATTACCTCTACACTTGTTGGTAATAACAAGGTTCAAGTTTGTTTGTATTTAATTAATAAGTACATCGTATTCCACTGTAGTCAAAGGCAAAGGAATCTCGTATATATGTATATGCTAAGCTTGGTTTTCAAAAATGACTCATAGTAAAATAGTACTCATCGCTCACTCTCGCTTCGTACTTTATTATTCGCTTATATTTACCTTACTATTAAATGCCATATAGTAAGGTCCAATAAAATAACGCAAGTATATCAACTGAACGGTGGTGTGCGCATTTGGTCAAGTTCACAAAGCACAGATAACGGTCGGATAATAAATTTAAGGCTTCGGAAGAGACGTAGGTAACGTAAAGCCATTGGTCGCGGCAACAACTGTACTCGTTAACTCTCACTGATTCACAAATCCTGCCGTGATTTTGTTAAAAGATTACACTACGACCTTACTATAAATAGGCTCGCTTCGCTAGTACTAAGCTTAGTGGAAGTAAGAAACTTGTCAAGTTCCATACAGTCGTATTCACGTATAGCACCATAGCAAACAGACGTTCACTGTGGTTAGTTATTAACCCTCTAATTAATAAAGGAAGAATAAGCTTGGATTAGTTACTCCATGCTTTTATCTGTTCAATGGATTACAAATGTTATTTGAGTAATAATTTTTCGTTTATTAATAAGGGGTATGCGAATAGCTAGGTACTTACTCCTTATAGTGTGACCTTAGATAGTTTAACTTGTATGAATTGGTATTTTATAAATAAAATTATTTTATGTTATAAATAGAAAAAAACTTTATTAATTTATTACGCACTGTACCGGTAGTAATGTTCGCAGATTAGAGAGAGTTTATAATCTAGTTGTCAGAAAGAAAGTCACTTAAAAAAATGTAGTCAATCTTTAATTTAATATAATGTTTTAAGAGTCTTTTTTATGTGATTAACGATTCTGTTTCTTTTATATCTTTAGGAAGTTTGTTATCACCAAATACTATCGATCTTTTTCTCTTTTTTAAATGAGCCAAATAATGATCTAGGGAGTTTTATGATTTGTTATTTCTGGCTTGTAGATAGCACCAATATCAAGTTTGATAGCAAGTTAAACTTGCTAATATGAATCCAGAGGTAGTGATTTTCTTCTATGGATTCCTATAAGACTATCATGTGCAAAAATCGAAACTCCGACTCCTATTCCTTGTTGTCTATAGTTATAGTAATGTGTGTATCCCGGTAGATGCAGGCTCTTGACTTGATCTTTGGATTTTATCCATGTCTCAGACATGATGAAAATGCGTACAATGCTTTCAAAAGAACAGAGAATACATATAATTTCGTCGAGTATACAAGGCTTGGAAATACTTCGAGAATTAGCATAAAGACATTTTAGAGATTTTTTATTATTAGATTAGATAACCATTGTCGTTCAAATCATCGAAATTTAAGCTTAAATCTTGATACTTATTTTTTTTATTTCCGGAAACTCAGCACGTTTTTACATTTTTTAAAAGCTTCTTCCCTTCCAAAAAATGGAGTAATTTTCTCTTTAGTTGATGTATTACAAATAAAACACTTCATATTGAAATTGTTATGATGAAACGCTGAGATTGGATCTAGTGCTTTAAATGTTCTTTTATAACGCAACAGTACACTGAATCACACGTCACTATATCACTGAAATGGACAAAATATCACCAAAAAATCAATATCTGTTTAAAATATCAAAAGATGTACAAATATTAGACGGTTTGACAATTTTAAATAAATATAGTTTTAAATAATTATATTTTAAACAATTATAGTGAATTTTGTTTAATTAATAAATATGTTTAGAATGCTGATGCGTAGTAAGCTTTACAAAATAACGACACTTTTGACAGCTAGGAAAACAGCAGACTGAAATGTGGAAATGATCTGAACCCCCAAAATGCTGTAGGTCAACGTAGGTATACTGTGACCTTTTCGAAGTAAGAGAGAAAGACCTATGGAACTTTAACATAAATTCGATGTTACTCTTATCTCAATTACTCTTGCAGCAGTCTTATGGACTTGAAAAGAAACGGGAGTAAGAGAGTTTACACTCTGCAGCCCTGTCGTAGAACAACCTCACTTTACGGTATTGTGTATCTTTGAGGCAGGTAAATGTTAAATTCGTAGGGAATAGAAAGAGACGACCTCATGCAAGGTTTCAACTTGAACCAAAAATCTGCCTCACTCACTCTTTACAGAAATATAGAAACCGTTAAAAAGCGAAGAGTTAAAATTTGGTATGCGCGATACTTTCGGCAGTTTGTAAGCACGCATACCAAGATAATTATAAATGTGACATTAAAACGTGAGAATTAAAAAAAAAAGGGTTCCGTGATAATGGATAAATTTTACCCCTTATCACACCATTGAAATAGGTATGCGTGACCTTTCCGGCTAAAAATCATTGGTCGGCCGGACTTTTTTTTTGTTGAACATAATATTTCACACAAAATTCTATACAAGATTGATCAAAATCCGTGATGACGGAAAAAAAAAATGGAAATTTAATAATAAAAAATTTAATTAAAATGTTTCCGGCCAATCAAATCCACGCCGACCAAGCAAATCTTGTTCGTCTAAACGTTAACTTTTATTTTTTATTAAAAATATTAGAATCCGTGATCACGGAGCTTTCAGGATAGTTGGCTTCTCGCCTATATATAGTCTCTTGGGGTACTCACTGGTTTGAGGCGCAGTCGACAGCTCTGTTTGTGCCTCAACCAGGCATAAATCTGGCGGACATTCTGTAACAAAAGTTTGATTTAGAGCATTCCATAAACAATATTTGTATAGGTCTGAAGTTCTGAACCTCCATAAATCTATTACATCAGTCAACACGAATTTTGAGTCCGAGTTCTGTGTTTCAGATATTGATTTCTTATACCTAATTAATGTAAAAAACAATATTTTTATTGAATAAAGCTTTTTAAGCTATCAGAATGAAATTTTAAATTGTATAGAAAATCGCTAGCTATTTTTATTTGAGTTGTTATATAACAAGAAAAAAGACGTTTATTTATTTACATCGCTTTTGTTTACTTATGACAATAAAACCGAGTCTATGAATACATAAGAGATATTAATTTAGTTTAAAATATCGTAATTTTTGGCATTTGTCATAGTTTTTAGTCTCTGAAAATTCCGGGAAAAATGTTTTCAGTATTTATACGTAGAGCCTTAATAAATTATCAAACCTAATTTTATATGCAAAGGAGCCATTAAAATAAACATAACGTCCATAATGAATAAGAATACATAATATTTTATATCATATTTATTTTTCTGACACTGAAAGTGCTGCTGATAGTGAAGTAAACAAAGTATATTTCATGTGATGCTCATATTTTATCCCGACTCGAATGGGAAGTTAAAATTAAGCTTAGTAGGCTTAAATAAGTCTAATAAAAACTCTTTAGTATATTCAGTTAATTTTTTATTTTACAAAAAGCTCTGGGATCGGAATGTCAAAGAAATATTCCTACATTTATTACACCCAGTGAGAATTGGGCCCAGGGTGAGCAAAGTACAAGTACGATACTCTAGTTTATTTTATTACTTCTCTAGTTTATATAATTTCCGTGGCCGAGTGGTTAGTACGCCGAGTTTCATGGTGTCGCCGACTCGAGAGGTCCCGAGTTCATGTTTGAACATCTGTTTGTGTGATGAATTTGTGCTCCAGTCATGTCACTCCAGTCATATTTAAAAATTAATTTCCACCAGTGGGTGGATAAAGGTTGAAGAAGAAGAAGAAGAAGAGTACAGTATATGTATTCTATCCGTTACCCTAGTATCCCATAACACAAGCCATATAGTAATTACTTTGGAGCTAGGTTAATTGGTGTCAGTGTTACAAATATTTATAATTTTTTATTATACATAATAATATATTATATTGGTATTGACGAACTCCGTGGCCGAGTGGTTTGTACGCCGGGTTTCATGGTGTCGCCGACTCGAGAGGTCCCGGGTTCGAATCCCGGTGGGGGCAGATGTTTGTGTGATGAACACTAGCATTTGTACTCCAGTCATGGATGTTTAATATGTATTTCTATATAAATATAATTATATATGCAAAGTATAATATGTATTCTATCCGTTACCCTAGTATCCCATAACACAAGCCTTATAGTGCTTACTTTGGGGCTAGGCTAATTGGTGTGAGTGTTGGAAATATTTATTATTTATTTATTTATTTATATCTAGCGCCTATAGAATATGAAGTCCTTGCCGGGGTTGGGTGGAGCATCAAAGTGTGACATAGATAAGAATGTTGTTTTTCCCAAACCAAAAGCCGGTCAAACCTAAGATGCTGCCTGAAAGCTGTAGTGGCAGGATCATCCACCCAGTGGTTCACGTCAGTTTCTGGGTATGTATGTATAGATACCGTGAGGAGCTCGATGGCGCAGGTGGTTAGCGCGTTCGGCTACGATGGTTGAAGTTAAGCAACTTTCGCAGTGGTCGGTCATTGGATGGGTGACCTTTGACTCATTGGAAGTGACCAAAAACTTCTATCTCGAGTTCCTCCGTGCTTCGGAAGGCACGTTAAGCCGTTGGTCCCGGTTGCATCTGCAGTCGTTAGCACCCACCAATCCGCACTGTGCCCGCGTGGTGGGTCATGGCCCAATCTCCCTATTACATCCATAAGGAAGGCCTGTGCCCCAGCAGTGGGGATATTAATAGGCTGATGATGATGATGATAATGATGTATCGATAGACTTTTACAAGTAACTTCGTATTGTAAATTTTCCCTTTTTTGTTTAGAGACACGGCCATTATGGTCTCGCTAGCATAATAGGTTCGTACACCTGCCCGGATAGTGAAAGATGCGGGTTCAAATCCCGTCTGAAAACTGGATCGAGTCGATTCTTTTCTAGTGAAATTTTCTTTAGATTAAAACAACCAGTAGTTAATTGGCGCACCATGGAGGAGACCTATACCCAGCAGTGAGTGATTATAGGTTGAAAAAGAAGAAGAAGAGTACAGTATATGTATTCTATCCGATACCCTAGTATCCCATAACACAAGCCATATCGTGCTTACTTTGGAGCTAGGTTAATTGGTGTGAGTGTTGCAAATATATATATTTTTTTTATTATACATAATAATATATTATTTTGTATTTATATCTAGCGTCTATAGAATATGGCAGCTGCTTAGCACTGAGGCTTAGCATTTCGAAGTCCATGCTTGTTTCACGTGCACTTAGTGCTCTGAATTAGTTATCGTTCTGGGTTAATCAATTTCTGAATGCTTATTTACAAAAAAATATAAGACGCTTAGTTATATAACATAAATTATTCATTATATAAAATGCTATCTCAGAACAATAACTTAAGGTTCTCATTCACAATTGTTGATATTTGTTTTTAACCTAATGCTAATACTATATAAATGACAGATTTACTATATCTCTGGATGGACGGCCTTGGATCTTCACAACTAGTGGACAGTTATTATTATAAAACTAGTGGACCGCCCTTGCTTTGCTTTGGTGTAGATTAAAACTTGATTCTCAGGCTTGTATTAAACATATTATATAAACCTTCTGTGAAAATAAATGTCTGACAGTGAATTTTTTTTTGACGTAGTTTAGTACTTAATATATCATTAAAAACAATGAAATAAATAATATATGTACAATCTAAAAAGTAATGTACATTTACAATTTAGTACTGATAGTCTTGAATACTAAGTGATCTATTTGGATAAGGATTAATATTCAGGTACGAATAATGTGGCCTACTTTGTACTGGCGTTACTATTGCATTTTTTAACATGAAAAAGTAGTTATCGTGAAATATAGTTAGGCATATGGTATTGCGGACCTTTTTGTAGATATTGGTGTGTTCTATAAAACTGTAGCACATCATTTTGCTCTATTGTCAATAATTTCGGCAGAGTACATGAATTGTGGTTCTTTTTGATATTTTTTTCACACGTTGGGTCACATTATAAAAGTTTTCATACGGAAAACCTATAGCCTTCATATGTTTATCAGGGATCAGGGATGTAGGATTCTAAATATGCAAGAATTTCTCAAATCGGTCCAGTAGTTTCGGCACCTATTAAATGCAAACAAACAAACAATAAACAAAATCTGTCCTCTTTAAAATATTAGTATAGATTGACGGAACTAAAATAAATAGTCGTCGCCTCTTTATTGATGAGTGAATGAGTCTAATTCTCAATCTCTCAATTGCACCCTAGGTGTTAAATCTTGAAAAACCCTGAAACACGTGTTTATTATTGATTATTTTAATTTTAGAGTGTTTTTAACAAATTTTAGGTTAATCGACTCAAAAATAATAAAAAATCCATACAAACTAACAACCCCTATTAAACATACTTACGGGTAAAAATTACAAAAATCCTTTCTTATTAAGTACTTATCTAGTTTATAAAAGGTGACTATTATGCAAATTTCATCATTATAGATTTAGGGGTTTCGCCTCCACGTTGATGAGACAGTCAGTCAGATTCTCTCTCTAAATGTATAATAGTGTAGATACACTGATACTATAAAAAAGAAAATAAATGAGGGAATAGAAGCCACCCACATTGTTCACAGCAGTTCATTAAACTATCGGAAACGTATAAAAACTCGTGTTTTAATAGTCCAATTAGTGTAGTTGTTAGTAACAATGTTAAATTATACTTGCATTCATTTTGATGCTACAATATTAAATGAAAATGCCCTCTGAGCTCCAAGACACGTTTACGGTAACATGTTAGGTTCATATTTGTGAGAGGGTAAGCTGGCGCGCTACGGTAATGCTAATGGCTACGGTAGTAGCTACGAACGCTACATGTTGCTAGTGGCTACGAGGCTGCTACGTCTACCAATGTATAATTAACGGCTGTTTAAAAATTGCAAATTCCAGGTTTGGCACTCGACGATTTCCACCTCGAAAATAAGATATACGTAAAAGATATTTTACACATAGAATATTAACTAGTTATACTATGCCTCCATGATTAGCTTTTTTGTAAATGCTTATTAAGTCCCCACACTAGACGTCTAGAGTAGAAGGGGGATGATAAAAATTTGTTTAATTTTGTAAATTTTGAGGTCTTCTAGTTTCTTTGAAACACAAGTTATCGAAAAAAAGGTAAATTTAAAAAATCAAAAAACCTGACTTCTTAAATTATACTTCAAATAAAAACTGAAAAGAAAAAAACAAGTCCAGTAGTCTATAATTCTGTTAATAAGGAACAAAGCTACTTTAACAGTCGGGACCTATTAGATATTCAAGAATACATAATATTTTTCAATAATGGGTCCCGACTGTGAAAGTAGCTTTGTTCCTTATTAACAGAATTATAGACTACTGGACTTGTTTTTCTCTTTTCAGTTTTTATTTGAAGTATAATTATGCAGTCGGGTTTTTTGATTTTTTAAATTTACCTTTTTTATTTCACACTTTTTAGTTAGTATTTTAAGACGGTATATATCGTAGTCTTGTTACTTCAGTAAGTTAATTAATATCGCGGGAATTATAAAGTAACTTGCGGTGGTCTAAAGGATTGATTTATTAAGACATATAGAGACTTTACCAGCGGAGTCAAGGCTACAGATGGGCCTCAATTTTCGCAAAAATGTGTGAAGTTAAATAAAGTCGTTACATAAATATCTAATGTACGTAAATTTTATAGTAAACTGGCACTTATTCAAAAAATCATATTTTGTCGAAGTTACTAAACTACTAAAAAGAGTTCTTTTTAGTAGTTTAGCAGTAAATATAAA